TTGAGGATTTTTACTGATTTAGGATTTAGCAAACATAAAAGTCAATTGTAACATTAAATTTTTACATAATTTCACTATCACGATACGTATGATCCATTTCAAAATCTTACTTTTAAAGTCCTTAAAAAAAACATTTATTACTAGAGAGAAAAACAAATTAAACTTTTTCTTCTAATCTAATAAACCATTAATCATAGTATTTGTTTTGGTGAAAGCCATTGGTGTGGTGGTTACACTTACACCAAACAACATAAACCCAGCTCATCTGTAAAAACCATTAATAGATTTTTAAAGTTGGTAGTAATTTATGGGCTTTTTATTGAGCTACAAATATAATCCAGGCCCAATACCAATATGGATACCTTGACTTCATCAAGCCCTAGCCACCTCATGGGAAGAAATTGACAACAAAGCGGTTCAGAATTGAGATGATTTTCGTTTTATTTTGATCATAAGGTCAATACTTATATGGTTTTTGTGGAGTTATTATGTTCATACCAAAAAAAATAATATATATATTGTTAATCAATCACAATAGTTATAGTATTATGCTGACTTTTCATCAACTAAAGAAGTAGCTAAGAAATCGTAAATGTTTTTAAGCTTATGACTTAGAACAATGATTTTATTCGTAGTAGTTGTATGACTCGTACTATCCACAACTTACACTACTAAAAGTAATATAAATTCAAGAGTCCAAGATCATTTCTTTTATTATAAACTAGTGATTGTCCACGCATTGCATAAGATTTAAAGTTAACATGGTAAAATATGCAATAATTTATAATGTATTGATTATTTGTGTATTTAATATCATATAAATTTAGTGTTTATAGTAAATAATTAGCTAAGTTAGAAAACTAACCATTTGCACCAAATTGTTGTATAAATACAATGTAATAGGCAAAAAAGAGAAAAGACTATTATACATAAGAAAACATCTGTCTTGACACAAATTCTTAATTTGTATGTATTTATCTATATTCATTACGGTTTTCTAAAACAACGATTGTAAAAATCTATTGATTAGACATATTATAGTATATTTTGCTTCTATAGAGACATCTGCATATCCTCAACAGAAATGTTGGAATGCATCTTTCTGTTTATTTCATTAGTCACTTGAATCATAATGAGAGAATAATTGATGTTTGATTGTATTTGTATCACTTTATTTGTCGATTTGCTATGATATTTATCTTTCACATTGATTCATTGGTAAAATGATTCTTTTTTTCTAGATTTACAATTTGTGGTGGAGTAAGGTTTTTTTCGAAAATCTTGGTTAGGAGAGTTATTTTGTCAAACGCAACTTTTTTTTTAATTGTATTAGGAAGTGATTGGTAAATTGGCTTTAAAAACTATGAAAACATTTAATAAAACGTTATGCATCTTAAATTTTTTTTTTAAATATCGCATATCATCTTTTTTTTGTTTTCATGTTATGCATTTTTATTAAAACTTATCTTCTGTGATTTTTGTTTTAAAATCAGAGTTACCTATATAAAAACCAAAGTTTTAATTTTTAAACGTGTTTTTGTATAGTATACTGTTTAATTTGG